CTGTTTTTTTAATGCTCGGAAAACTGTCTTTCCGACCAGCTAGTTTTCCTCCGATTCTGACTTCTTAAGGAGGCTCGAGAGGCCGAAATAGCGGAAATGCAGATTTCGACCTAGATTTCGACCTTTGACCCAGATAAGGATTTGACCTAATTTCCGAGCAACTACGCCTAGCCCCCTAACAACGTGTACGAGTAGATTTATCCAAATATCTCTCGTTGATGAGAACGTGTGGTTAGAAGGATTTTTGCTTTTGCACATACAAAAGCAAAAATCATAATAGGATTTGGCCATACGCGTATAGAGGGAAATGGCTCTACGGACGCTCTGAGGGCCTATAATGGTCGATTAAAGGACGGAGAATCTAGGGAGGTAGTTGGGGAGAATGCCTGGCTCGTGCTTCGCGGATCCGTCGAGGTCAAAAAATAGTCCTTCAAAAAATAGGCCTTCCAGACGTCTATATAGAGCTTTCGACGTAGATTCGAGCAGCGTACGCGTCGTTCTACATTCCGCAATCGTTAGTTTGAGGAAGGGAATCGTTGTTTACGAAATGCTCTAGTCATCGTTCGGGCCTATTTTCTTTCAAATGTCTGTTGTTCGCAGAGATACGTATACCAAGTGTATTCGTGCCGTCTAGATATACGGCAACGGTGGCCCGTACGCGAACTTCAAACGCGTATATCTCGATAACTAATGGTCGGATTTCAATTTGGTTCACTGTTTTTTTAATGCTCGGAAAACTGTCTTTCCGACCAGCTAGTTTTCCTCCGATTCTGACTTCTTAAGGAGGCTCGAGAGGCCGAAATAGCGGAAATGCAGATTTCGACCTAGATTTCGACCTTTGACCCAGATAAGGATTTGACCTAATTTCCGAGCAACTACGCCTAGCCCCCTAACAACGTGTACGAGTAGATTTATCCAAATATCTCTCGTTGATGAGAACGTGTGGTTAGAAGGATTTTTGCTTTTGCACATACAAAAGCAAAAATCATAATAGGATTTGGCCATACGCGTATAGAGGGAAATGGCTCTACGGACGCTCTGAGGGCCTATAATGGTCGATTAAAGGACGGAGAATCTAGGGAGGTAGTTGGGGAGAATGCCTGGCTCGTGCTTCGCGGATCCGTCGAGGTCAAAAAATAGTCCTTCAAAAAATAGGCCTTCCAGACGTCTATATAGAGCTTTCGACGTAGATTCGAGCAGCGTACGCGTCGTTCTACATTCCGCAATCGTTAGTTTGAGGAAGGGAATCGTTGTTTACGAAATGCTCTAGTCATCGTTCGGGCCTATTTTCTTTCAAATGTCTGTTGTTCGCAGAGATACGTATACCAAGTGTATTCGTGCCGTCTAGATATACGGCAACGGTGGCCCGTACGCGAACTTCAAACGCGTATATCTCGATAACTAATGGTCGGATTTCAATTTGGTTCACTGTTTTTTTAATGCTCGGAAAACTGTCTTTCCGACCAGCTAGTTTTCCTCCGATTCTGACTTCTTAAGGAGGCTCGAGAGGCCGAAATAGCGGAAATGCAGATTTCGACCTAGATTTCGACCTTTGACCCAGATAAGGATTTGACCTAATTTCCGAGCAACTACGCCTAGCCCCCTAACAACGTGTACGAGTAGATTTATCCAAATATCTCTCGTTGATGAGAACGTGTGGTTAGAAGGATTTTTGCTTTTGCACATACAAAAGCAAAAATCACTAGACATGTAAATTGAACAAGTTCAATTTAAGACTCCAGATTTAATTCTTTTTTTAAGCTGAGTCATCCAGAATACTTGTAAGCTGAGTCATCCAGAATAAGCTGATCGAGTCAGCTAGAATTTAGACATTTAGACAACTCTCCATTTTTTATCTTCGACTCCATTGGCTTAACATGGGGATATCATCATATCGACTTTTCGAGACTTCAAACCGCTATAACTATCTAACCAGAAGTTAGATTGTATTTTGGTTTAAAGATTCGGACTCCTGAGAAAATTCTACCCTTAATTCATAACTCATACATTAAATTTGGAGATTTTTTTATTTTGACCTACTTTTTGGACACCATATCTCAAAAGTGGGTCAAAATACTTTCTGACGGCAAAAGGCTATCACTATAAGCACACTCTTTGCTACCTGTATACAAAATTTCGAAGCAAATCATTAAAGTGTAATGTCAGAATCGCAAAAATAAGGAAAATTATGAATTTGCCCTAGATTTTGACCTTGGCATTTTGGTGTCCAAATTTTAAAGCTAGATAGCCTTCGAGGTCCCCTTCTTTTAAAGGCTTTCAGAATGTTAAGCTGTACTCAGTCTATATCTGGTATTTTAGACTTCAAAAAAATCTTTTTCCCTATTGACATAACATGGGGCACCAAATTTAGCAATTTTTGAGCTTTCAAACGCTATAACTTTCAAACAGAAAATCGGATCGAAATTTGGTTTGCAGATTCAGATTCCTCAGAAAATTCTATCCTTATTTCATAACTCATATGCTAAATTCGGAGAACTTTTATTTTGACCTACTTTTCGGACACCATATCTCAAAAGTGGGTCAAAATACTCTCTGACGGCAAAAGGCTAACACTATTAGCACACTCTTTGCTACCTGTATACAAAATTTTGAAGCAAATCCTAAAAGTGTAGTGCCAGAATCGCAAAAATAAGGAAAAACTATGAATTTGACCTAGATTTTGACCTAGGCATTTTGGTGTCCAAATATTGAAACTAGGTAGCTTTTGAGGTCCCCTTCTTTTATAGGAATTCATTATCTTAAGCTGTACTCAATCTATATCTCGTATTTTACACTTCAAAAAAATCTTTTTTCCTTGACTTTCTATCAGGATAACATCAGATCGATTTTTCTCGAAATTTCAAAACGCCATAACTTTCAAACCGGAAGTCGGATCGAAATTTGATTTAAAGATTCGGATTCCTGACAAAATTCTACCCCTTATTCATAACTCATACGTTAAATTTGGCGAATTTTTATTTTGACCTACTTTTAGGACACGCCATAACTTTGGAACTGGAAGTCGGATCAACATTTGGTTTGCAGATTCGGATTCCTGAGAAAATTCTACTCTTAATTCATAACTCATACGTAAAATTTGGAGAATTTTTTATTTTGACCTACTTTTCGGACACCATATCTCAAAAGTGGGTCAAAATACTCTCTGACGGCAAAAGGCTAACACTATAAGCTCACTCTTTGCTACCTGTATACAAAATTTCGAAGCAAATCCTAAAAGTGTAGTGCCAGAATCGCAAAAATAAGGAAAAACTATGTATTTGACCTAGATTTTGACCTAGGGATTTTGGTGTCCAAATTTTAAAGCTAGTTAGCCTTCGAGGTCCCCTTCTTTTATAGACTTTCAGAATCTTAAGCTGTACTCAGTCTTTATCTGGTATTTTACACTTCAAAAAAATCTTTTTTCTCATTGACATAACATGGGGCACCAAAATTAGCGATTTTTGAGCTTTCAAAACGCCATAACTTCCCAACGAAAAGTCGGATTGAAATTTGGTTTGCAGATTCGGATTCCTGAGAAAATTCTACCCTTAATTCATAACTCATAAGTTAAATTATGAGAAATTTTTATTTTGACCTACTTTACGGACACCATATCTCAAAAGTGGGTCAAAATACTTTCTGACGGCAAAAGGCTCTCACTATTAGCACACTCTTTGCTACCTGTATACAAAATTTTGAAGCAAATCCTAAAAGTGTAGTGCCAGAATCGCAAAAATAAGGAAAAACTATGAATTTGACCTAGATTTTGACCTAGGCATTCTGGTGTCCAAATTTCGAAGCTATGTAGCTTTTGAGGTCCCCTTCTTTTATAGGCATTGAATATGTTAAACTGAACTCAGTCTATATCTTGTATTTTACACTTCGAAAAAGCCTTTTTTCCCATTGACTTAACATGGGCACCAAATTTAGCGATTTTTGAGATTTCAAAACGCTATAACTTCCGAACCGGAAGTCGGATCAAAATTTTGTTTGCAGATTCGGATTCCTGAGATAATTCTACACTAATTTGATAATTCACACGTTGAATTTGGAGAATTTTTTATGTTCTGACCTACTTTTCGGACGCCATATCTCAAAATCGGTAAGAGTAATCAAAAAACGGTTTGCCTTACGGAATTAGCTTTTTTTCTAAGGAACATGATGAAAAAAACCCGGAGCGAAAATACCAAAGGACGACTGAGAAAACTTGTGAAATAGCAAAAAGAGACGATTTGACCTAGTTCTTGACCTTTGACCTAGATAAACATTTGACCTAATTTCCCAGAAACTAGAACTCATTACCTAGTTGACTATGTTAGCAGATTTTAGGAAGTCCCTCTAGTTGCTGAGAAAACGCGGAAAGAAAGAAAAATAATAATAATAATAATAATAATAAGAAAACTGGCAAAAGCAATAGACTCCAGATGAAATCTGGAGTCTAATAAGAAGAATACTGGCAAAAACAATAGACTCCAGATTGACATCTGGAGTCTAATAAATTAAGTGATCTTTGGCAAAATTGTCTCTTATTCAAATGAATAAATCAGCATTGTACATTTTGAACTTTTCAGATATCATGATTTTAGATTAATTTCACAATTCATTTAATTCTTGTTTTAATATTAGAAAATCAAGGTGAGATCTGATTTCACTTAGCATCATTATGGGCACATATAAAAATGTCTACCCTAAATACTTTTAAAATATGAACAAAAAAGATGAAATTCAAAGGAATTGACAGTAAAACCTGTTGTAGTGAACGCCTCTACTCTAGTCAACATCTGTCCCTAGTGAACACTGTTGACTTCTGTTAAAATCCCTATGTTGTGAACACCTATATACAGTGAACACTCAGGACTCAAAAGGTGTTCACTATACACATTTTTATAATAATCTTTTTTCTAGGTTTTAGTGTACCTGTTATATTTAAAAATGTGTTTCATGATTGTAAATCATGAATTCATCTACTCAATATTAATCAATCAGTTTTATATTTCCAGAACTTCATAGCAAACATAAAAGGGACACCACAGAACTTCAAACAAAATCCAGACAAAAACGCGAAGCATTTATACCTGCTGGGCTCGTCGCTGGAGTTATTAAAATGTGTGATCGTCATTCATTTTGGTGCAATCACCACATCTTTAGAATCACTGATGAAATCACAGATAGAACTGTTCAAATCTCAACCGGAACTACTTCTTCACATGCGAGAGAAATCCGTAGTACAGACATTATCAACAGAAATGATCCAATTAATACTCATGCTGACAATATTGCTTCTGCAGACATTGTAAAATCAAGACGACGGAGATTCGTTGTTCACGGTATGGTTATGGGAATCATTCGTATGTGTAGAAGGCACCCCCAGAGATGTAGTCGAAAGAGAATTGAGATTCTTGACACTTTTACTGGGCGAAGAACTGAGGTTCGATCGTCGCATGGGCGGACGACTGCATCTGAATATTGAAACAAAAATGTTGTAATACATGCATGGTGCAGCTAATAATGGTTTACAGTAAAACCATCTTTGGGAATGACCTTTACAAATTTTCCCATAGTGATATAATAGTGAGCTAAAGAACTGCCAAATACTCATGATGGAAGATTTAGATCCAATGTGAGTCTTGACTGTGGGCCAAAAACTGAATGCTTCTTTAGACAAAATAGTTTTAGTTTTCTGTATGTTTCAGAAAATTCTTTTGATATCCTATATAAGAAGTAAATGTGTTAACACCCTGTGATAGATTTGCCAAGAATTTCAGTATTTCTATTCAAAAATCTAGCATCAGATCTGAGTGCATTTTTTTTGTTATTATTTGTAGTTAGGCCAACTTCAGTACAGGTGACATTAAGATATAGTACTTGACAACATAAGTTGAGCAAGCAGCCTCTTATGAACTTTCAATAGTGATATTGCCAAATATATTTTTGAGTTGAAAGTTACTGTAACTGTACATCATACTACTCACATACTGCTCAGATTTTCTTAATGCATTTATTACATTTGCATTTCTATGATTGCATTCTATCTCAATACTAAGATTTGACATAAGTACCTCACTCTATTCACCATAATAGACTTTTGTAACCACTAAGTAGAATAACATGATCTTAAAGAGTAATATAGTTTTGTACCAAATCCCCAAGAAGGGAATAGGAATTGAACAAGGTCACTGAAATCATTTTATTTATTCTACTGAAAAGCTATTATTTTAAGCATTATTCTGTAGGTTGTAATTTTCGATGACAGATCTCTAAATGTATATATTCTATACTGAATGTTGAAAAGTACATTGCTGAGGAAGCAAATAGTCTTGCTTCAGATATTAAGCTGACTGATAGAAGGGCATTTTGTGATATATTTTAAACCTAAATGTTTTGAACATTTATACATGTACTCCTACATTATGTTAAGTTATTAGTTAAGAGCCTTATCGTATACTTATTGCATTTAATTTGTCTTGTGTATGATGATTACAAGCGCTAGAGAGGATTATAAAATGTCGCAAATTATTTGCATGTTTTTGAGGGAAAATCTGTACCTTCGTTGACCTGAGCTTATAAAATATGAAAAAAAACAGTTTCTAATTTCCTTCTTATTGCTTGTAAAAATATGATGTGCAGAGACTGTATGTTTTCGGGCTTATATGTAGACTTGCATCAAGTTGTTTCAGAGTAACTCATTGCCCATTTTCTTGAATAGCTTCAGAATGTTGTGTAATCTAAATGTAATATGTTAAAGCCTGGCTTGTGCATTCTGAATTAGACTAGCCATTAATCCATTTTGTTTACATATATTATAAAACCCTGTTAAAATAGGAATGGCACTACATGGCAAGTCTAAAATTTTCCGAATATGCATAACAATTTTTATTTAAAACTTATCTGTAGCAATACTTGCTAGAATAGTCATGTATTTGAAATGTGTTCACCATTAAAAATTGATGTTCATATATTTTACATATATTGAAATACAGTTACAATTTTTTGAAGAAAATTACTACAACTTTTCTGTGACTATATATATATTTTATTTTTAAGTTCATTTATTCATTCTTCATACAAAACACAGCAAATTCTAAAAGAAAAGCTTTACAAGGCAAAAGGACCTTCTGATATGCCTAAAATGAGAATTGTTGAATGAAGTTGATTTGATTCAATTATTCAACACCACTGGATTTCCAGATAGACATGATAGATAGATAAATCGTTGCAGTCTCAAAAACTTTGTCATTTAAACAAAAATCTTTTGCATCCCTTAAATCATCTTTGTTTATGTCATTTGAAGGTTTGGCACATATTGTTAATTGTTTGTTCTAGAGTTTGACCATTATTTGTTCATCTTCATCACAGAATCATTGGCATCCGAATCATACATGTGATCCTCTCCCCATCCATCAATGAGGTGCATATATCTTTCCCAGCTACATGTTGCGAAGTTGAAGTGGTAATCGCTGCTACATCATGTGTTGAAATAGAATCAGTGTTTGTGAGTTTGGAATATTTTTCATTTTCGCATTGTGTTGATTTGTTGTCAGATTGGTTCTTGATGTTGACACTGCAACCTCTGTGTTTTTTATCCAAATTGTTTGTTTTAGTGGCAACATGTTGCACTTTTATTTCAGTTGCACTTGATTGGTGTCTTTTTTGTTTCACATCTGTTTGCATCCCAACATTCACTTTTTTATTGTGTCCCCAGGATTCCGCAATTGCAATATTGAAGTAAATCCACTGTCATGGTCACCCTCAGTTTCATTGTCATTGTTTACAATTTCACTGTTTCCATTAGTTCTGTTTTTAAACAAGTCTCTATTTAGTACAGGCGTAACAGGTGTTGACTGTTCATATAATCCTAATTCATTTTGTTCATGGTGTTTAGGTTCACTCAATAGTTTTTTTGTTAGAGTTGTAATCACTAATCCTATTTGCATCTCTTTTAAGTCTACTTGGTGACTTGGTACTGGTTTGTGACCTTGGGTTGCCAAAATGGTGTGCTTTATATTCCAATGTAATAGTAGTTCCATTGTTTGCTGAATTTATCTTGTATCCTCCTAGAATGTACCCTTGTTCCTGTAACTCACGATCAGATGCTCAACTATCTTAGGAATCATTGTTTCTTTTTATTTTCTGTAATGTTCAATATATTTCACTGATTTTTACCTTTTTTCCCGAGCACTTTTTTTCCCTTGTTTCTTTGTTGCTTGACCTTGTGATGCCTTTTCTGTGACTATATTTTCTGGGCACATTCTGTCTTTCAGAATTCTTTTAGAATTGAAGAATTGATATAGACTCAATCTGGTCCATATTCATTGCCAGTGAATAGTTTTAAATTGTTGCTTGATTTATACTACACTTACAAAAAAACATACATGTATGCCCTATTTAGGTCAGTGATAATTAATTAGAAAACAATAACTCCATGAGATAGGAAATCACAATGAACAAAATATATGTCTGTGTTCTCAAAACATGTTTAGCCATTTTGGAGAGATATGTACACAACCATATTACATATGGATTTTCCAACTAAAATTGAACAAAGCAATCTACCAACATCCCAGAATTATGAAGCCATTTCAATTTATAATCATTTTTATACTAATTACATAAAATAATATTTTATTCACCCTTGTAAATTCTTACATAGTTTCTCAAGTGTAATTTCTTGCAAAGGAGTGTTTCATGGGTAGTAATCTTTATAAGACTCTCTTGGCCCAAGAATTAATTGCTACCTTGCTTTATTTGAAGAGGTACAGCATTGCGTATTGTCACCTTCAGACAAAGTCCAAAGCGCAAGGAATTAACATGCAAAATGTCACTACCTGCCATTTGTCACATACGCCAAACACTATCCCCAAACAAGATGGAGACTAACAATATATCATCACTTCTGTTTGTGACATCAAAATAAGACACTGATAAATATTGCATTTTGAAATATAATTTACCCAGCATGCCCAAATCTAAACAGGTATACATGTTTACGTGATTGAATATATCACTTTCAATGTGTCAAAAAATAAGAAAACATTGATATAAATATATCTGCACATTCAGACATTCTGTATATGAACAAACAATTTTCAAGTTTTAGAGTTTGATTTTAAATTTCATTGTCTTAGGGCATCTTGCTTATCTCTCCCCTGTACCCAAAGATGTAATTATGTCCACCCTTCGCACACATTATTTCTTGGAAGGTGACAACTAATCCAAAACTCACAATTTGTTTAGATTTGATTGGGTTGGACTCCCTACTCAGTCTTAGGTAGTAACATATTCAAAGCAAAAACACAAAAATATGTTTATCTTATGTTTATTTATAAAAATATTTCTACTGTCTTCTATGGTATATCCAACTTAAATATTAATAAGGTCAGAAGAACAGAAACTAAACATGAATATGCAGTCTCACATTCTCTAAAGTTGAATCTTATACTAAGATTATTAATGCTACAAAATTGTCTACAGTATAATATACATAATGATTTGTTTAGTTACATGTATTTAAAAATATCAGGCTTTCCTAAAATTAAGTACTAACTAAAATGGTCTAGGTGGAACATGAGAATCAGGTGGACCAAAATAGGACTCGAATTCTTACCTCTGGTGAGTTGCTAGTATTTTCCACTAAAATTATTCTCTATATCTCCTTCTCAAGTTCCAAGATTCTACATACAAGACTACAAACTAATAATACTGTAACATGTTGAAATTATACAAAATACATGAACTAAAATGTTGTCATTTTCTGCATTTCTCCTACCCCGCCCACAACTCCTTCAAACACAAGTATTGTGAATAGTGATAATTGAGGGGTGTGTGGCCATGCTAAAAAAAGATTGCCAATGGTAAAATATTTTTTACAGCTCAGCAGTGTTCCAATATTCTACATTATGAACTTCTACAGAGAACTGATTCTAATACTAATAAGAAATGTCTAGAGACATTTAACTAAACTAACTATACTATAATTTACAAAAAGCCACTCGGGCTCAGGCTAGGGTAATATCATGTATAGCAATATCCCATATTTTTGTTCTATTAGATTAGTCTAGCTACAAGCCCCTGTCACCTCCCACCACTACACAACTCTCAACGATTGGTGAAGTAGATGAGGGAGAGGAGAAGAGACTCGAAGCAAGACTACAAATTCTATTTTTGAATCACATAATGACGTCCATGAATATGATATGATAGTATGTATTATAAGTACTATGTATTTTATGTTATGTAAAGTGGGTGTTCGAGATGATAATGCTGATGATTTATTTACCTGAGCCTAAAAATGTGAGAACTAAATGTCTGTTTAATACTAGTCTTAAAATAATTATATATTTGACTAGATTATTTTATAGTCTACACTATTCACTTTAATACTAAAATCTAACTAAATTAACTTTCTAACAAAATTTTTGACAGAAGATTATTAGGACATAAAAACATTTTTTCATAAAAGTCCTGTATGTATCTAGTAATAATAGAAAGTTGTCAAATAGCCCGTCAAATACACTGTCTTAACTCAAGCAATGTCAATATACTGCAATTTAAGATAGCACCTTCATTGGCATTATTTCCATTATTTATTTGGCAATTTTACACAGTAGTGAGAATTTGAAATGATTGCTTGTATGATTGTGTAACAGATCATATTTAACTTTCACCAGGAAGGGCTCTTGTTAGAGGAGCTCTAATTTAAGGGGGACTTTATTAATTTTACAGGTGAGTTTGAAATGGATCAAAATTTTGCTTATTTTACCCAAAAATGCCCATTTTGACCAAGATCATGCCATAAAAGGTAGGTTAAAATCAATGGAGCTTGCATGAGCCCCAACAGGCTAAAGCCACGTGTAATGCCTCTTTTACATAATGTAACCTGACTGTTTTCTAGATGTCTGATTGGTCTACAGATAGCAACTTGTTACAACAATCTGAGCAAAGAAACAAGTTCTATGATGTAAGTTAAGAGTTTCCTTATGAAAAACTCTCTATTACAACTTTACCCTTCATTGTGGACTACTTGAAACATTGTGCATTCACAGTAAATGTATACCAATAGTTAAGTTATAAGCAATAGGTGTTTTCTCAGTATGTTATCTAGGATCACTAGGTTTGTTCAATCTGGGTATAGTAGCAACTCCTCTGCCCTGGCCAACTAGTTGTGGTCTAGGAAGTCCTGGGGGTCTGTTTCCCACCCCAGGGAGAACTCCAGCCCCACCCAATGGCTGACCACGTCCAAGACCAATCCCACCCATATTCTGAGTTAGAAGACAGTTCAGTAGCATCTGATTTTGCTTAATCATTTGATCCTGAGTCATGGTGGGAACCAGTGCTTGGGCTGACAGCAGTGGTTGCTGACCAGCTGCCTGGCCCAATAACTGTTGGTTCTGTAGCAGTTGGGCATTCAGGAGTCCAGGGTTAGTAGCAGCTTGGATCACTGATGGTGTCAGTTGACCAGTTAGTCCTGCCGCTGTGCTACCCTGTAGCAATGTTTGGTTCTGTTGATTCAGCAGTTGTTGATTTAAAAGCATTTGTTGTAACAATAGTTGCTGTTGTGCAGCATTTGATGCTACACCTCCAGTAAGGAGATTCAACCCTGGGAGTCCCCCTGTACTAGCCTGAGCCCCAAGGCCAGAATCCTGACCCACAGGATCTTGAGCTTCTTTGGTATCCTGAACAGTGGAGGCTTGCATTGGGGCTACTATATTGGTCTTAATTGAGCTATGAGGAGATGCAGGGATAGAGTCGGCCTCATCTGAGTATTGAACACTAGGGGTCACTGCAGCTGTCTTAGTAGGACGTGGTGGACTAGAAATTTGTGTCTCCATGACACGCTGGATCAGTTCTTCCTGCTCAGTGGGTTTGTGCTTCTGGTTATTTGGGTGATCTGTAACAAAGTTATTGTAACATGAAATGGTATGTGCTTTCCCTGTAGTATACTCCTGTGACAGAGTTAGTCTTCAACATATCACCGTAGCAGGTAAAGCATTACTGTAGTCTCAGCTTTAACCTAAGATGGCTAAAAAGATGGCTAACCTGATAGGTTCCATTGGGCATATTGATTGATAAATAAAACCATGTGCCTTGAAATAATATCAAAAAGACTCTCAATCTGCATAATTAACAAATAGGAACAAAGCATGCATTATATTAACATGCAAAATGTCACTACCTGCCATTTGTTACAGACGCAAAATGCTGACTGCCTTACAATGTCCACAAAAACATTGGAGACTATAATAATAATATGACACCACTTGTGATGGTGACATAAAAATGGGATTATTCATCAGATTTTGACTTTTTATTTTCCCACAACTTTGTCTATCTGAGACACTGCCATGGGAGTTTGTCTTTGTATTACTATTTATACATGTTTACCTTTTAAAGTATATAGGTCTTGTAAATATTTTAATATCTCTACATTTACAAATTAAACTAGAAAATACTAAAGTTGTCCAGCATTGACAATTTTTTCTATAATGGGTAGCACTGCTGCAAGATTTACATAGCCTCCCTCAAAAAGTAATCTATTCTGTGAGCCAAGTGTTATGATTCAAGAATTTGACAATTTGAAACTAGAAAAACAGCAACTCCACGGAGTAGCAAATCCCACCGAACAAAACATATTATGCTTATTATAGCTAGTGTAAATGTTGAAATGTTTGTGCACTTTGTGATAGAAGCATGAAATTTGGCACAAAGTTAGTTTATACCATTGTGAACTAGGCATCATCATATAAAATTTGAACCAAATCCGTTCACTGGTATATGAGTTATCAAAGATTACGTTTTTACAAATATGGGCCGCCATCTTGAAATTCAGCCGCCATCTTGAAAATTAATTCTTGAACAGAGCTACTGTGTCCCTAGGCATAATCATATAAAATTTCAACCAAATCTGTTCACTGGTATTTGAGTTATCAAAGATTACGTTTTTTACGAAAAATTGCCGCCATTTTGAAATTAAGCCGCCATCTTGAAAATGTTTTGTCGAACATAGCTACTGTGTCCCTAAGCATCATCATATAAAATTTGAACCAAATCTGTTCACTTGTATTTGAGTTATCAAAGATTACATATTTTTATGAAAAATGGCTGCCATTTTAAAATAAAGCCGCCATCTTGAAAATCTCTTTTTGTGCGAAACTCCTTTTTCCCTAGGCATCAGCATATAAAATTTGAACCAAATCCGTTCACTGGTATATGAGTTACCAAAGATTACGTTTTTTATTTTAACGAATATGGGTCGCCATCTTGAAATTCAGCCGCCATCTTGAAAATTATTTCTTGAACAGAGCTACTGTGTCCCTAGGCATAATCATATAAAATTTCAACCAAATCTGTTCACTGGTATTTGAGTTATCAAAGATTACTTTTTTTACGAAAAATTGCCGCCATTTTGAAATTAAGCGGCCATCTTGAAAATGTTTTGTCGAACATAGCTACTGTGTCCCTAAGCATCATCATATAAAATTTGAACCAAATCCGTTCACTGGTATTTGAGTTATCAAAGATTACATATTTTTACGAAAAATGGCCGCCATTTTGAAATTAAGTGGCCATCTTGAAAATCTCTTTTTGTGCGAAACTCCTTTGTCCCTAGGCATCAGCATATAAAATTTGAACCAAATCCGTCAACTTGTATTTGAGTTATCAACGATTACATTTTTTTACGAAAAATGGCGGCCATTTTGAATTGAGCGGCCATATTGAAAATTCCTTCTCGAGCAGAGGTCCTACACTCATAAGGCATAAACCTATAAAATTTGAACCAAATCCGTCAACCGGTATTAAGTTATCGCCCGGACACACGGACAAACGAACGGACGGACGGACAGACGGACGGACGGACGGACGGAAGGAAGGAAGGACGGACGGACGGCTTCTCTATATCCCCCTCGAACTTCGTTCGGTTGGATAAGTAGTGTAGCACAGGGCATAAACCCCTGTCACCATCATTTCAATAGTACCATTTTCAGGCAAGTCAATAAATCACTGGGGGCATATCAGGGTTTGTGTAATTTATTTTATCTTGTGCCTCATTTGTTTCAGCACCTACCATTTTCTTCATGTGCTTTGATTCTCTTCCTGATGCTTGTCATTTCATGCTCTACATGATTCAGTTCATTCACGTCTGTCTTAGAATTACCACTCATCATCTCACGGATGATACGCTCCCTGGAATATGATATACATGTACAACATTCATATAGGATACAGATTACAGAACATGCACTCAGAGTTTATTCAGACAAAAAATATGTGTATAATATTTTCCAAAGGATAAGGTGGAGTAAGATGGATATTCCTGTGTGCCCCAAACCCAGGAGATAGCAGGACAGATACAGAAAATATCCATCCCACTCCCAGATGTTGAGACATGTTATCAAGCTAGAAACTCAGTAGGTATATGGGATATATTCAATTTTTATCATTTAGTTATACTATTTAGTATAAGAGCGGTCATCTTCAACAATGCCTATAAAAATGATCTACTTATATTTATTAAGATTAAGAATATCCAACATATACAGGGTGGGCCAAAAAACAAATACCTAAGTTTAAAGATGAATATCCTCTATTAGCGGAATCAATTGGTGAATGATCTTGCGTTTTCATACTAAAGTTTGTTTTTGAGTTTTTTCTTATAGTTTTATGTATTTAAAGATATTTAAGAGACAGGGCCCTTTTTCTAAAGCCCTTTTTAGAAAAATAATTGAGATTACACAGGATACCTGTTATTTCTGCTTTTTAACACAATTTTAATAGAAAATTCAAATTCCAAACTCCTTTTGTCACTATAATTCACCAATGGAGAATGGGAATTGAGCAACCAAACTTGGCACAAAATTAGATCCTAGGATAAACTCTAATCTTAGGGCTTTGATTTTTTGTGATATCATATATTTGCCTAGCAACCACCTAAAATAACAGAGTTTACATTATAAATCCACTTAATATATGCTAGGATGCTATAAGAACATTACAAAAAAGTATTCTTATCCTAAAATACAACAATTTTAACATATTTACAGAAGTGACATCACCATGTTACATGGCAACAACATGGCAACAGGTTACAATGCCCATTTTGACATTTGCAGACCATATATATATTATATGTTCACTGCTTTTAGATCTCCTCCACATTATTTCTTGACATATAGCAAATGTATTGATGCAGTTTTGTCTGACCATTTTCCTTAGCAACGGCTTGAAATAAAGGTTAAATTTGCCTAGCAACGACCCAGCAACATCTTAAAATAGCAATGTTTCTCATAAGAATTTCACTATATATCCACTATATGTACTTGAGGAAAATCAATATATATATGTCTTTTGTAATTTATAAAGCTTTATAGTTACTCACTTAAAAATCTTTAGTCTCTTGTGTAAAGCATGATGGGACATTTCTTGTCTTATGTATATCAAATTGCAATTCATGTTTCAGTTCTGAGATAAAAACGAAATATTCATCACATTGATACTTGATACATTTTCAGCATTGATACCCCTAAGATAATACTTTATTTTGGTTAATTGCTACAATTTCCTTTGCATTTGCATACTAGTAGTTCCGATGCAGTAGAATGCACCATGGCATTTGCAGTTCTCTTTGCAGTCACATTTGGTAAAACTTGAAACTTTGAAATTAATGACTTGTATGTTTCAGCAAAGCCCAGATAGGATTTTAAGCTTTTAACAAGTATAACCTTGACCTAATGATTTAATCAGTAAAATATGGTGTCTTGATTTAAAATCTATATGCTAGTATTTTGAACACACCCTGCTGGGATACATAAACCCCATATGCTGGGTTCAGTGGAATATTACTGTCCAAATGCGGAAAATTAACAATGTCATGAGGCATACATATATATATTTTTGCATGTGTCTCATGGCGTCGGAAAAAGTTGCAGGACATTTATCTTGTGATAGCCTTAGCCTGTGCCTCTGAGCTACAGATTGAGGTCTATGTAGCATTTTCAAAGTGCAAAACGTATCGCTACATTCCAGTTCATGAGATTGCTAGAGCACTACGACCACAAAGATCATGTGCGATGCCAATGTTCCACGCCCATACTGGAACTGATACCACATCTGGACTTTACCATCAGAGCAAGGTGACAGTTTTCAAGCAATGGAACTTATGTAATGATCTAACAGGTGTCCTTTTGACTCTAGCAGATTGCCCATCAACCGTAACAATAGAAGTTATGGGCACAATTGAGAGGTTCATTATCCTGGTTTACCAGCCTACAAACAGTGAGACAAATCTCAATACCACGCGTAGGCACATGTTCACTCATGACAGATAGATCCCGATAGAATACCTCCAACATGCAATGCAGCACTCTATCATGTCATGCGAGCAGCTCTCCAAGGAGCACATGTATGGGGCCAATGGTATATAGTGGATCCAGTTCTTCCTTCACCAAACCTATGGGGATAGTTTAGGAGCGCATCAGGATTGTGCGTACCCAGATGGACAATACTGTTGCGAGCATCCGAGGCATGTAAAGTCATAATTAAATGTGGATGGCTGGATGCACCAAATGTGACTGCAAATGAAACTGCAAATGCCATGGTGCATTCTACTGCACCGAAACTATGCAACTGCAAAGGAAATTGTAGCAATTAACCCAAAAAAGTATTATCTTAGGGGTATCAATGCTGAAAATGTAACAAGGATAAATACGATGAATATTTTGTGTTCACTTTATCTCAGAACTTAAACATGAATTGCAGGACTTTTACAATTTGATAAACATAAGACAAGAAATGTCCCATCATGCTTTACATAAGAGACTACAGATTTTTTTGAGTGTGCAGCACAATGTAGATATTAACTTTCTTCAAGTACATAATAGTGGATATATAGTAAGATTTTCTTTATGAGAAACATTGCTATTTTAAGCTGTTGCTAGGTCATTGCTAGGCAAATTTAGCCATTATTTCAAGCCGTTGCTAGGGAAAATGGTCAGGCATAACTGCATCATTTATGCTTAAATACAATTTCTGTATGTTAAGAAATAATGTGGAAGGGATCCAAAAGCATACAAGTGAGTATATAGTAGGAATATGTTGTGCAAATGTCAAAATGGGCATTGCAACCTGTTGCCATGTTGTTGCTATGCAACATCGTGATGTCACTTTTGAAAATATGTTTGAATTGTTGTATTTGAGAATAAGAAGACTTTTTGTAATGGTCTTATAGCATCCTAGCATATATTAAATTGTATTGTAAAATATGTTATTTTAGATGGTTGCTATGTGGTTGCTAGGCAAATATATGATTTCACAAAAGATCAAACCTCTCAGATTAGAGCTTATCTTAGGGTGCAACTTTGTGCCAAGTTTGGTTGCTCAACTTCCATTCTCCATTGGTGAATTATAGTGAGATAAGGAGTTTGAAATTTGAATTTTCTGTTAACATTGTGTTAAAAAGCAGTAATAATGGGTATCATCTGTAATCTCAATTATTTTTCTAAAAAGGGCTTTAGAAAAAGGGCCCTGTCTCTAAAATGTCTTGAAATACATAGAACAATAAGAAAAAACTCCAAAACAAACTTTAGTATGAAAACGCAAGGTCCCTATGGGGGCCTTGCACCAATTGATTCCACTATATATATGTTAAATCATGCCATGGATTCTATATGATTTTAAAGATAAATAAGTTTCTAACAATATGACACCATCCAATAGAAAAAACAAATTTTTCATTTCTCTTGAGTTAGAGGCTAGAATTAACACCAGGGTGTCATGAGGGACCAAGAAATTACTCAATACATGCAGATTTCCATATTGTGGAGAATGGAGGGAAATTTGAACTTTGGCCTTCAAAAGAGGCACATTTATACAAGTTGAGAGCAAAATTCACTTATAAATACTATTATCTCTTTAATTAAATATTAATTGTATGATACTTTTAAGTAAATTTATATTTATCCAGTCAAGTATATTGAGTGCAGCTGTGATTGAAATATTGAGGGAAAAGGGAATTTTCATTTTTTGATTTTTAGTCACTCATAATGCCTTGGTGTTCATTTTAGCCTCTACCTCAAGAACACAAAAGAATCACATGGTGTCATAATGTTAGGAAATGATTTATCTTTAAAATGATATATAAAACATGGCATGGTTTAAGATAAACCCAATATAAACATTCATCTTAGGTACTGCTTTTTGGCTCACCCTGTAATTACAATGCACAAGATTTTCAAAATTCTGTACAAAGAGATTAGATTTACCGTTTGAACTGTAGGGATCTGAGTGTAAGATGTAGGCCCTCAAGGTCCAGTTCAAAGTCTGCCTCCTCACTTGTGGTGTCAAAGACCTCCTCACCCTAAAAACAAAATATGAAAGTAATTTATAGTCATTGTGATTATGGTCATCATTGGATTTCCAACCTTGATTGGCTTGTGCGTACATTGTTTTAACTGAAAACATGTAGGAGTTTAATTAAAATGAAGGATTGAACCCCCTTCTCTTCTTTATGTTGGAGCATTAACATTAGTGAATATCACGGTGCTCAAGTCTAAACAATGGAAATTGTTCCGGACGTGTTTTTCAAACGATTTAAACAAAGGATGAGTCTGGGAATGAGTCTGGGTATCGACTTAGAAAATATTGAAAACTGTAATGTCTGAAAAACCAACTCAATCACACATATTATTAAACTTCAATATCTTATCCTTCTTCTGAGATTACAAAAATATCAATTTGTATCACAATTGATGAAGAATATTGGCATCAAAGACAGTGCATATCACTTTGTCAAAAATGAAAAAAATCAATGGCAAATATTAAATAAATGAATTATTTATACAAAAAGTTCGAAACATATCCTCCAAAACATTGGTTACTTTCTTTGTATAGCCATTGAATGGTATTTCTGGATAAGTGAATTGGTGTTTATCTGGGTAATCAAGGGATTATAGTCACTCAAAGTTACTGAGCATCCAGTTTTGAGACTTCAGTTGTGTTGGTGAAGTTACACATATTTCAGTCTAATTCATGCTGAGCACAACATTTTGGTTTCAATTTTATAATCTCCATACATGACCCTGATGATGAAGAGTCAGAATCAGTCGAAAAACCTAAACCGGAAAACTGTGCTCATTGTGAAAACTAAAAGTGAAGCAACTTTTTTTCTGATATTCCTTACATCAAATGGCAGCCATCTTGTTTTTCCCCCTTCAAATTAAACTGGCGGGAAATTCAAAAATTTGAAAATTTTTTATTATCCTTAAATATATTTCAAAAATTTGATTTTCTTTTTAATTCTTCTTGGGTCTTAAGTTATTTCTTCTTTGTATGTCATACATGTTGCCATTAGTGGTCTTTTCTATGACAATGACTATTTTTTGGTTTGTTAAGATACTTATTCTGGCTCTCAGCAGGAGGTTAATTATGCATCAAAACTTGTGAAAAAGTAAATATACTTATCAAATATAACTAGGACAGTAATAAAAATCATATTTCACATACATTTGACTGAGGGACCAAAAGGGCATATACCCGGACACATCCTTTAAAATTCTCAGGAAATCAACTTTCAGATATGATAAATGAATAAAGAAATGTATAATTCAAAAGATGGCATGCATTACAATACCACAGTGGTTCAATATTGAAGAGAGAATATGTATAACATATGGAATAAAAGTAATTGTTTACTCTTCTGTACGGAAGTAGACTTCAGTTTCTACCACAAAATTGTTTTATTAAAGTCTATAATTCCATGTTTACCTTCCAGTAAGGCTCTTCTGGGTCAAAATCATTGACATTCTGCAATATAGCTTGCCTCAGAGTCATTGAAGGGTGATTAAATGCTTCTAGGATTGTAGGAATACTGGAGCAAAAACCAAACATTTTTCATTAGTTTTCAATATGTCAAAATGTTAAACATGTATTTAAAAATTCAAATCCTGGAAAGCCTTTATGAATAATGCAAAAATGAACAAAATTGACTCTTCCGTCTTTATCTTGTATATAACTGTAACAAAGGACATTTATTGAATTAAATTTGTCACATTTGTGCATATTAATGAATAACAAGACACACAGTGATAAATATCGCACTTTGAAGAGCAAACTGGCCACCATGCAATTTACCCAGCATGGCCAAAACCTAATCAGACCTTGGCACTAGTCTGCTCTTGCATCTGTAAACATTTCAAGTTGACAAGGTTAGCAGTTTTCCTGCAATTTTGATGACAAGAATTTATTTGTAGTCTTGAACTTTAAGAAAATTTAGATAACATTGTTTGTGACCTAATTTGATGACCTTCGACCTTGAAAATTTCACTTTTTCAGACCTCAGTAGGTGTTTTGTAATTAAGCTGCCCTAAATTGAAATCCAAAATATCAATTTAGAAAATCAACTTTTTGACCTTTTCAAGGTCACTGAAGGTCAACGAAAGGTCAAATCTGAAATCTAAGGTCAGATTTGAACTTCTGAGAACTTGTAGATGTTTTTAATAAAAAAATTTGGTCAATTTGGAGCAAGTTGAAAAATTCAAAATGGCCGCCAAATTGAAAAATTCAAAATGGCCACCATGTAATTCAGCCAGCATACCCAAAACCAAATCAGATCTTGGCAATAGTCTGCTCTTGCATCTGTAAAAATTTCAAGTTGAACGGATAAGTGGTTTTCCTGGAATTTTGATAACAACATTTGTTGAAAAATTCAAAATGGCCGCCACGTAGTTTACCCAGCATGCCCTAAACCTAATCAGATCTTGGCACTGGTCTGCTATTGCATGTGTAAAAATTTCAAGTTGAACAGGTTAGCGGTTTTCTTGGAATTTTGATGACAAGAATTGATTTGTAGTCTCAAACTTTGAGAAACTTGGATAACATCATTTGTGACCTAGTTTAATGACCTTGACCTTGAAAATTTCACTTTTTCAGACCTCAGTAGGTGTTTTGTAATTAAGCTGACCTAAATTGAAATCCAAAATATCAATTTAGAAAATCAACTTTTTTGACCTTTTCAAGGTCACTGAAGGTGAATGAAAGGTCAAATCTGAAATCTAAGGTCAGATTTGAACTTCTGAGAACTTGTAGATGTTTTTGAAAAAAAAATTTGGTCAATTTGGAGCAAGTTGAAAAATTCAAAATGGCCACCAAATTGAAAAATTCAAAATGGCCACCATGTAATTCAGCCAGCATACCCAAAACCTAATCAGATCTTGGCAATAGTCTGCTCTTGCATCTGTAAAAATTTCAAGTTGAACGGATAAGTGGTTTTCCTGGAATTTTGATGACAAGATTTGTTGAAAAAAATTCAAAATGGCCACCACGTAGTTTACCCAGCATGCCCTTAACCTAATCAGATCTTGGTATTAGTCTGCTCTTGCATCTGTAAAAATTTCAAGTTGAACAGGTAAGCAGTTATCCTGGAAATTTGATGACAAGATTTGGTTTATGTCCCAACCGCCCGCCCGCCCGCCCAATAGCACAAGACAACGACAATATAGCAATTTTTCAAAGTGCGATAAAAACATATTTTACTGGTTTTAGATGCCCTCATAAAATGTGATCATAGCTGACCTAAAGTAACTAAATAACACTTCGATGGGGTAGAGTGTAACATGTGACCCAATATTACATTGTACTTCCATTGGGTAGAGAGTGACATGTGACCCAATACTACATTGTACTTACACTTCCATGGGGTAGAGTGTGACATACGACCCAATATTACATTGTACATGTACTCACACTTCTATGGGGTAGAGTGTGACATTGTACTTACACTTCCATCGGGTAGAGAGTGACATGTGACCTGACACTATCTCCTTCAACCAGACCTGGAACCTCATAACTGGAAATAAAACAAAACATTATGAAAATAGCAACTTGTCTATTGATCTTGAGAGTTTCTAAAAATGCAATTGTAACATTCGAGAAGACATTGAATTAATCTTAGAGTTTATTTGATGATGTTTTGAACTGTACTTTTGAAATACAGTAGTTCTGATTTATTAAAGGGTGTCTATGGACTGCACCTCTTCACAAATTGTACATAAAATTCCTGTTAATTGGTACATCCCTTAGGAAGTCAAAGTCTCTTCATCTAATGCTTTAAACAAAATTCATTCCCCAAGAGATGAGACTGATATCCAAATTCTCCTAATAGCATATAAACTACATGTATAAACATACTAAAGTCATATATGCAGTTGTACTTACTGCATTAGTTCTTGGAACAGTTCTGGATTGCTGTTTCTAAACACGACAGTATTGGGAACCTCAAGTTTCTTTTTCCTCAGCTGAAATTAGAAATCTAATGTCAGTACCTTAATCTAAATACATGATATTGATATTAGTCAAAGAGCTGTCAAGTTTCAACTGTTGACTCCGACTAGAATCAAAAAAGTGAAATGATAGATTTTTTCTATATCCTATACAAACAGGCAATACATATTTGTTTCAGTGTTAACTTAAATCAAGGTTTTAAATTATTAAAATTAAACAGGCAATGCGCTTATTTTTGAAGGAATTAAAAAGGACAAAATATTATTTGAGACATGTCACTCACACAGCCAATCAAATATGATAAAAACTTTAATTTGGGTCAATACAGAAGTGAAAAAAAAATTACTCGCATAGAAAACAGCATTTGAAGTTCAGAGACCAAAAGAAGTTTATTTTTATTTTTTATTAATTTATTGCAATCACTTTTAGATCAGTGGCACATAGTTAAACTAGTGCAGCAGTTAAACATACAATACATGTGTACAAGTACAATTCTAAAGCAGAGCTTAAAACATTTGCGCAATAAGACATAAAAACAAAACTAAAACATTTGCAATACATTAAATTGTTGGTGCTACATATATGTTTTTGATAAAATACTTTGAGCATGCATCAAAAATATAACCTTGTTCTTGACCCAAGATAGCAGAGGCCGCATCCCCAAGCACCCATTCTAAACCATTATTGGGAATACATGTCTTAAAATAATTATAAATGTGTGGAAGTCTATTCTCAATGCTATTATAAAATATAAACCTTTCCTCTTTAAACTTTGGGCAGGTAAAAATCGATGTTCAGGAGTTTCTTTACAGCTCATATTACAAAAAGAACACATTCCATCACTTATACCCCATCTCTCAAGATCAATGGCGAGACCAAAGCATCTTGATCTGGCCTTGAATTTAAGTTTTTGAGCATAGAAGTCAAAATCAAATCAGTTTTAAGGTATTTTTCCATAAGTGTGTTTCTTTTAATATTACTATATACTGTAAGTGACTTTTTCTGGTTTATCGAGTCAAAAAATGTATTGCGTAACAAATCATTAGATATTTTCAAATATGACGAGTACCAATCTGTGTCCTCTCTGTACATTACATCGTCTAAACCATGGTTGGTCAAAATATCTTTAATGCTAGAAAAATAAGACCAGGTGGCTGTATTTCCCTTTTTAAAGTCCTCAAACATATAATTGAAAATATTCTTGTGGAGCCCTGCTTTAAGAGAGCTCTTTAAGTAGATAAAATAGTCAATTTTTCTTTTTTCTATGACATTACATATAGGCCTCCATCCCAAGTCACCGAACAGGGCCTCCTTAGCAGGATTACACTTGAGTTGTAATAGCGATTTTCCTATCTTATATTGAAAGGTAGCTAGTGTTTTGCAATTTGATTTGTTCAATACGAAGGTACTACAACCATGCAAAATTGCAGGTACAAACATTGAATTATATATAGTATCACCAAAGCTTATGCGCTTTGCATTACAGTGTTTACTCAGAGTTGAACACAACATGCCTTGCATGCGTTTAGCTTTTGGCTTAAGGAAGGCATCTATGTGATAGGTGTCCTTTAATGTCCTATCAAAGTAGACCCCCAGATATTTATGGTTTTGAACTTCAGTTAGTTGAAGATCACCAAGATGCCAAATTTTTTCTTTATTGATGCGCTTACCTATCACCATTACTTTTGACTTTTTTGGGCTATATTTAACGCCCCATTTTAGTGAAAATTTATTTGCAATTTGCAACATTTTGTTCAATTCCCCTTCAGATTCTGCCATAAGGACGATATCATCTGCAAAAAGCAGAGCAGGGACATTTCCATTATTAAAAGGTATTCCTGTGTTTTCTGAATGTAGCATCTCAATTAATTCTGTCATTATGAAGGAAAAAAGCATAGGGGATAAACAGCAGCCCTGTTTCAGGCCTGTGGGAGCACTATACCAGTCACTCTCAGGGTTGTTACCTGTGATTGGAGTGTCATTTTCAAAATTCAGATTTTTCATAAGTTCATTATCAAAATTACCACTTTTCACAAAGTGTATGTTTTTAAATAACTCTTGGACTAAAAGATGGCGTATAATTGAAAATCCTTTCAAAAATGAATGGACAATTAATGCAAACAACAATGCCATCTTTCTATGGCATTGCTAAAAACTTGGCATCTATAAATTGATAGATCAAAAAAAAATTTCATGATCGAGTGTCAACTCTGATGTGGTCTGTTTGAGCTGTTTTTGATGTCAAATGAAAGATCAGGTACTTATTAATCCATTGGAAATACTATGAAAAACAAAAGTGAGACTTCATTTACGCACTTCGCCCCTTTAATGTTTTCAGTATTTAAAGAGAGAATCAGATATAGCGAGCAGGCCAACAAAAAATTGTTTCGATTTTAGAATATTTCTGGCTCATGTCATTCCTTGTCATGTCAATTTTCTAAAAATCCTCAAAGTGCACACTTTATTTCAGGAAAACTAGACATTTTTACGATAATGTATCATTTTTCAATTAGAATGGTTACCATTCTTATTATTTGGGAGAATTTAAACATTTTTCACCTATTTTCGCACTTTGAATCCATGATAACTTCACCAATTTTTAACATATCATGAATCTTTTGGGTGATATTGTATTTGAGATTGTAAGGAATAGATTGGTACGTCAATTGTACATATTGCTTGTAATTTTGTCACCTCTATAGATCTGATTCTGCCTTTAATGAGTCATCTGTGTAAAGATGGGATGTAGAATTACACCTGCCTCTTAAACCCTCACATGTTCAATCTGTATACCAAGTTTCAATGAACAGATAAACTCTTTGGATAAGATCAAAGACTTTTTGAATGACTTTCACAGTTAAAGTTCCACGAACGCTCTAATACCATAATTCTGAATAAACTAACAATCTCTCTAAAACAGGGGGGGGGGGGTGATGCTTTATATAGCAGAATACATTTATATTGATTTCGTCTATTTTATCATTTGCTATTGGAGTTGAAGTGTAAAAAGGTTAAAAACTTGAAACGTCAAAATTTGAACTTATGATTATTTGTGCTGCCATTTTTTTGCAGTCTGCCCAGTCTTGTCATATACATTTTATCAGAACATCATCTCCAGACAATGATCAGCTATTCATATTGTGTGTTAAAAATTGATTTATTTTTAGGCTTATCATGTTGCATGTATATGTTCTACATTAATAATTGTGATTTACTCGTACTGGTTGTGCGTGTCACACAATCAGGCCAGATTTCAATGCCCTAGACTAGACTTAAGTTCACCTTTAACTATAGTTTATGAGTCAAGGTTGCAAGTTAAGTTGTAAAATACAAACATTAAAATGTGTATGGTCTAACGCAGCATACAAGTAGTACAATGCCCCTCATACATGCTAACAGTTAAACCTTTGTATTCTGTGATTATGTGATATGTTAACTATGACATACATGTATTAACATGACAAAATGTCACCATTTGTAATTTTATGTTATTTTCTTATTCCATATTTCAAGTACAGTCCACCTTCAAATGGTTATTTAATTGTAACAATTTCTTTCTGCCGACTCTAAAACCTAGCACTGGATTTCAAGCAGCAGCCATAAAATGCAATAGACTAGACATAATCTTGATTTACGTCATTAAATATTCAAAATTCGAAAATTGTTTATCAACTTTGAAAATTAAATTTTTTCAGGTTGCTTCCCCATAGACCCAATGTTACAAAATCACAAAAAGTGAAATATCTTTTCTTGTATTGGACAGATAACATTTTCTTTTACTGGACATATTTCAATTTGCATAACTATAAGATACATCAGGGAAAATTGAACCACTAAAACAAATGTAATTTAAGTTAAAGGGAACTTTCTGCTATACCCGCCATGCTATCTGACCCGAACGAGCCACCTGGTGGTGAAACTGGTAAATACCTACTCGCATCTGCGTTATTAAACAATATCACACTTCTTTTTCTATGGTAATATAACAGGGTGTCCTAAAACTTCATGCTCTCTTGGCCAGATAGGGATTATATTAATACAGTATACGTATATCCATATTCATTGCTACTATAAAATAAATAATAAAAAATAGACACACTGTCTATATTATAGCAAAGAGCATCGGAGGGTTTGGTGAAAAACTTGTTTCCATTACGATGTGACATCACGCGTACTGGTGATATAAGCTATTCTTACAAACACAATCAGGTTTTGGAAAGCACTAATTGATGTGTCGTCAAATGTGACCAGATTTCAGTAGTTGCGACTAACATTTGAAATCTAGTGGTCCTCATTGTGAGTACACTATGTGAAGCATAATTTATAGTTTCCAGGAACTGGAAGTAGATTACCGAAAGTGAAATTTTCAAAATGTATGTGATTTTTCTATCAGAATCCATTGAATCGACCTTAAGGTGCCATGGAAGTTAGCAGGAAATGACAAATCAAAAAGTGGCAAAACCATGCTTGATTTTGAAAAATGTTTGAACCAAGATAACAGAGTTCTGTTTGGACCTCCAGTCAGTTTAACTTCCACTTTAACTATTCCACTTATCCTTTACATGACCGGGAACACAATGGAAATGGTCAGAATGACCATAAACATGATGAAATAACCTTTTCAGCCCTCTGAAAATGTGACTGAAAAATAGCTAAGAGTAAGTGCTCAGGAAAGGTCACTGAACAGAATCTTTTGACCTTTCAGAAAATGCGCCCAATACATTGCTCTAAATGATACAATTTTAGAAAATTTGAAAAAAATGTCAAAAAATGAATCAGTTCTAGATTTTCATACTAAGAATCATCCTTGAAAATTTGAAATTGATCTACCAAACGGTTCACCTGAAAACGCGTAGACAAGACTTTACAGACAAGAATTTAGGACAGAAAATCCAAAATGGCTGCCTTGACATTTACCCAGAATGCCAAAAAACTAATCAAATTTAGATTTTTATACTAAGAATCATCCCTGAAAATTCGAAATTGATCTACCAAACGGTTCACCAAAAAACGCGTAGACAAGACTTTACAGGCAAGATTTTAAGACAGAAAATCCAAAATGGCTGCCTTGACATTTATCCAGAATGCCAAAAACTAATCAGATCTAGATTTTCATATTAAGAATCATCCCTGAAAATTTGAAATTGATCTAACAAATGGTCCACCTGGAAATGCTTAGACAAGACTTTACAGACAAGATTTTAGGACGGAAAATCCAAAATGGCTGCCTTGACATTTACCCAGAACGCCAAAGAACTAATCATATCTAAATTTTCAAACGGTTCACCTGGAAATGCGTAGACAAGACTTTACAGACAAGATTTTAGGATGGAAAATCCAAAATGCCTGCCTTGACATTTACCCAGAATGCCAAAAAACTAATCAGATCTAGATTATTATACTGATATCATCCCTGAAAATTTGAAATTGATCTACCAAACGGTTCACCTGAAAACGCGTAGACAAGACTTTACAGACAAGATTTTAGGACGGAAAAAACCAAAATGGCCGACAATAAAAAAGTGATTATGAGTTCCTGCTGATTTCCTTTTACAAAATTATCACATATAACTACTGTTAACAATAACATAAGCTTTTACAACAAAGTACACCTGAAATTATTTATAAAGCTACTAAATAGTTAAAGTATGAAAACTCAAAAACACCATTCAATATGATACAAACTTTTCTTAAGACATTCAAAATGGCTGACATGACTGAGCTAACAGGTCCAAAACCTAATCAGATGTAGAATGAAGTGAGCTGAACAAGATGTTAAAGTTTTAAAAGCAACTGTGAAGCCGTTTTTCTTAAAGTTTGCAGACAAGGATTTTAGCATTTGACCTCAAAATGGCCGACAGGAAGTAGCTATTGACTTAATTTTTTTTCATCCACATCTGTAGGCGCTCACAAGTTATTCCTGAAAATTTGAAGGTGATACCTGTAGCGGTTTTGGAGAAAACTGCCGGACGTACGGACGGAGAGACAGACAGACAAACAGACGGACGCGCCTAGGACGACAATATGGCCCCACACTATGTGGTGGGGACATAAAAAAATTATCAGTATAGTCTTTAGCTGCAGATACAAATCTACAAAGTTTCCCACACAAAGTTCTGTGGCTCTTTCTTTACAGTTGTTTTAGTTCTTCCTCCTCAGAAATAAAATGTACCATTTCTGTACCACCCTGTAAATGTGTTGGACTTTCATTCAGTAAGTGGAATTATGAATATGGTGCAGTGACTTGGCTATAGCAACTACACTTGAGCAGCATGGCAGACATCTCGGCTGATGAAATATTTGGTGAAATCTTCAATATCAAAGGAAAACCTATAATACATAAGGATGGGCTAGGGGCACCATTCCCTGTACATAACATAGATGAATTCATCTACCCACAATATATGAGATCAAACGTCCATGAGGAAATGAAAACATTTGATGTCAGGGATGACGATATTTGGTTCTTCTCATTTCCAAGATCAGGTAAGTAATAAAGTATTACCATGTTAGCATATAGCACTGTCCCCTCAGTTTTATGCCAAAAAATCTCAAATTATGCGATTTTCATTTTGTTGAATTATGCAAAAATATGTGATCGATTTAACACAAGAAATTGAATGAAATGATGGCTTTAAGAATAAAGCTACCATTAATAGCTATTGTTTTGAAATGATATGACATATAATCTCGTGATATATATAACTGAACAAGACACAGCATACATGTAGGTGCAGAGAGATAAACTGCCGGATCCGGATCGTTGTCCGCAAAATACAACCCATCGCTGAGATTCCGCTAAAAAGTTTTGAAATATAATCTCTTTTGATTTTGTCATTATTTTGATAAGGAACTGTTCCAGTAACACATATTTATTCCAGGTTAATCTATAAATCAATGGCTGAGTTGGCATTTATTGCAAGTAAGTGGGGATTTTTGTCTTTTATGCAACTCTATGCGCTTGTGTGTGGATTATGCGGGCCAAGGTAAAATATGCGGAATTATGCTGCGGGCGCGTAATCGCATAAAACTGAGGGGACAGATAGCAGTGAGGGACAATGTCAGAATTAAGTTCTCAAGTGTCACCTTATCTACTTCAGATCTTGAAATGTATTCAAACTCAATCAACTCAGTCAGGGTTCTACCAATTTTCTTTACTCAATTAAAGTGCCACAGGCCTAGACGTTTAAGTTTTAATTTAGGAATAAAGACTGAGATTCATTTTCATGCATTTTGCTTATTTTTTTGATCTACAAAAACCAATACACTATAAAATGTTTCATCGTCTATAAGATTACACTTAAAAAACATTTCCTCATTTTCAAAGATATAATCTATGGATTAACACCCAGGTATTTTTATTTTTCAAACTTCAGAGGACTGGGAACCATTGGTAATCAAAGCTTTTGAATAAGATAAATGCAGTTTTTAGTAGGGACATAATATGTGGTGGGAACATAAAAAGTAACTAAACCCAATTTTTTAGTTTGTATAATGTCTATAGGTCATGTTATATCTCATAAACGTTAGTAAAAATCTTATTTATAAGCACTCCAAACCTTAACGTCCATCTACTAGGTTAATATGTTACTGTAGTTTCTGGAACTATAACTTTGTCCAACTGATTATATGTACAAATGTATGTTGTACAGGGTGTTTCATATGTATGCACCCCTCTAAACTCATATATATAACATTGCCACCTTGTCATGTTATATACCATTCTGTTTATTGTGGAAAGTTACATAAGATTGCAAAGTTTCGGAATCAAAGGGTGTACCCGAAAACGGGTTATTGAGAGAGCAATTTCTGGTCATTTTGAGGGCAATTTAAGGTACAAAATTAGTTTCCGTATTGCACATTTCTAGCATTTGTCATCGTGGCAGAGTTCAGTCCACATGTCTGTGACATATATGCACAAAGATATACTGCCAGGATTCATACAGTGGCTTATAAGGAGGTCAGGAACCATGATACCGCCTTTATCACTAATAATGAGCTTTGGACAAAGGGAACAGATCACTGGACTGGGTCCAAAAATGCTCATAGGGTGCTTATAAATGACCCCGTTCCCGCATAATTTGGTACATTGTATCTTTCTTCAGTGACATTCCTTGATTCTGAAACTTTGCAATCCTATGTAACTTTCCATAAGGAACAAATGATATATAGCATGATAAGGTGGCAATGCTATATGTATGAGTTTAGAGGGGGTGCACACATTTGTAAGCAAAAATGGTCAATAAAAATGAAGATGGACTGATGGTCCTCACAATTTCTAATTCATATTACAATCAAATATCAATTATGCAACAGATCAAAACAGTTTTGATTTCGCATAAACACACCGAAACATCCTAACAACGGTAAAGTAAGATACCATTGTCACAAATGGCAGCCACAAGGGCGTATTCTATTTGATTTTCATTAACTGCATGTTTAATATTATACAACTTTTGTTGTACCATGTATCATTGTCTCTATTTATTTTATGAAATTCAGCTTCCGTTGACATTGACGATATGAAAGATTGTATATTGTAGCAATTCACGACCACATATTATCAAACTTGGGATTTCATATTATACGCCCTCACAAGAGCTTAATACATGCAAAGAATAAACAATGCGTTAATAATAAGGTCCGATGAACTGAGAACCAAGTGATTAAAGAGTTGAAGTGACGGTTACGTCCACCCTTTTTTGACAACAGTATCTGTCTTTACCATTGTCAGGGTGTTCAGGTGTGATATAGCAATTTAGCAAATGAGACAATCATTGTCCTACAGTGCACTTTGTTATAATATTGTGTTAAACCAACAAGCTGCCTTTATATGTGTTTAATGTCTGCACAAATACATAATATTTTCATTATCATTCTTGTAAACACTTAGGTCAGCACTGGACCTGGAATATTGTATACAGGCTAACCCATGATCTAAAAGAGGCCCCTAAGGGTATGGAGGAGTACTGTATGCCAGAGCTAGTACCAAATGATATCATCAATTCTGTACCTTCCCCCAGAATCATCAGGACACACCAGCTACCAAATACTATTCCACCGGCAGTATGGAAGTAAGCTGACAAAATGATTTTAATTTCTGAATGAAATGTTTAATGTTAAATGCATAATGCAATTTTAACCACCGACAGTATGGAAGTAAGCTGACAAAATGATTTTAATTTCTGAATGAAATGTTTAGTGCACAATTGGGGCTTTGTTAAAAAGCTACTTCTATATATATGAAATAATAAATAAATGCTTGGTATTTTAGCCAAATCTTGCATATTTTGTATATAATGTTATATTACATATGATAATATTTGACATACATTAATGAGAGAGAAGGCATTGTGTGTAAAAATAATGCATTTATGTACAAACTACAAACTTTACTTAACAATAAATGACAAAACAGGAAGTGACAAAACATGTGGCATTTTTTAGACATTTTTTGAACAAAGATAACAGAGTTCTGTTTTGACCTCCAGACAATTCAAATAGTTCCACATATCATTTACAGGACCAGGATCACAATGTTAAAGTTAATTCTGCTCATGGTTTAATTACGACTCTTAAGTTTGAAATTAGGCTTAATGTGCCGTGGAACTTAACAGGAAATGACAAAACAGGAAGTGACAAAACATGGGCTTTTTTAGACAGTTTTTAAACAAAGATAACAGAGTTCTGTTTTGACCTCCAGTCAATTCAAATAGTTCCACATATCATTTACAGGACCAGGATCACAATGTACATGGTCAGAATGACTCTAAAAATGATGAAATAACTTTTTCAGCCCCCTGAAAATGTGAACGGAAAGTAGCTAATAGTAGGAGCTTGTGGAAAGGTCACTGATCAGAATCTTTTGAAATTTTCAGAAAATGTGCCCCGTATATTGCTCTAAATAATACAATCTTTAAAAAAGTGACATCATTCGTAGAAAAAGCAAAAATATGAAAAAACTGAATTGAAATGCCATCTATTTTCCTTTTTATGATCGCCATTTTTGTTTCAGACAATTTTCTAAAATTTCGAACATTTTATCAGTTAGAGCAATATATTGGGTACATTTTCTGGAAAATTCAAAAGATTCTGATCAGTGACCTTTCCTGAGGGGCTACTTTTAGCTATTATTTAGTCACATTTTCAGAGGGCTGAAAAAGTTATTTCATCAAGTTTAGGGCCATTCTGACCATGTACATTGTGATCCTGGTCCTGTATTGATATGTGGAACTATTTGAATTGACTGGAGGTCAAAACAGAACTCTGTTATCTTTGTTTAAAAACTGTCTAAAAAAAGCCCATGTTTTGTCACTTCCTGTTTTGTCATTTCCTGTTAAGTTCCACGGCACATTAAGCCTAATTTCAAACTTAAGAGTCGTAATTAAACCATGAGCAAAATTAACTTTAACTTTTGAACTATATTTTGGATTTAAAATTCTGGCTGTTATGCACATGAATATAATGAGTGATTTAGTTGTTAATGATATCAATATTAAATGGTTCGTAATTAATGATGTGGACTTATTTGATCTATGGCAACTGCACTTCGGCCATAGCTTCCCAAAATCGAGAGAAATATGGAGCACAAAATATAGGGATAAGCAGTGCGATATAGATTTTCTATGATTTTGTGAAGCTATAGCTGCCGTAGAGCAAATGTGACCAAGGCTTAAAACTCGCCATGGTTTCATACATTTTTACATAACATGCCTCTTTTCTAAATTGTTCACATCAAAAATTGTATATATATTAGCAATGTTTAGGTAAAGTATCACTGCAAATTGACAATCTACCCACTCAGCTGAATGTACTTAAATGTTATTGAAAATTCCAGTAAGTGCAAGGCAATTAACATTGTGCGTCATCCAAAAGATGCAGCATACAGTTTCTTCAAGCATGAATCAGTAGCGTATGTATATGGATATGATGGGACATGGGAAGGTTACATGCCTATGTGGTTGAAAGGAGAAAGTAAGACAGGCAGTATTTTTTAAACATTGTTTAAAGGCAGCATCAGATCTATATGGGTGACAAAATTTCAAGCAATTTTTATAATTGACCTACCAATTTATTCCTTACAATATCAAATACAATATCTCCCAAAAGATTCACAATATGTTATAAATTGGTGAAGTTATGAATGATTCAAAGTGCAAAAATAGGTGGAAAATGTTTAAATTCTCCCAAATAATAGAAAAAATAATACATTACTGTAAAAATCTTTAGTTTTCCTTGAATAAAGTATGCACTTTTGTGATTTTTAGAAAAGAGACATGACAAGGAATGACATGAGCCAAAAATATTCTAAAATTGAGACAATTTTGTTTAGCCTGCTTGGTATATCTGATTCTCTCTTTAAATAATGATTTCCTTTATTCATAGTATGACCTCTATTTGTAATGTTGTAACCTTCTAACTCACATCTTCATTTACTCAACTCCCGACAGTCGAGGATGTCTTAAGTGAAATAAAATAATAAACAATACAAAATGCAAATTGTTATTTCAATGTTTCATAAAAAATCCTTTATTAAGGAGATCAAAGTCATCAAATTATTGCTATCTCTGAACCGGGTCATACTGATAATCCTAATGTATATATGTTATAGTAGCATGGAATGATTGGTTCAAGCATGTACAAGCATACACAAAATTAAGGGAAAGCGTTGACATGCTATTCCTCACTTATGAAGGAATCAAAGAGGTCAGTAAAACATTTTATGTTACAATATACATGGTGTCCAGGAAATTTCTTAAAATTAAGAGTATTTGTATCTTTACAACCTGTACACCCTGTATATTTCTGGTTGTTCAAAAGTTTGCAAAAGATGATGATCATACATCCCTGGAAATGGGATTTGGGCTCACATTGATCAACATGTTAGTCGCATCAACAATATCTAATATAAGACTTAATATTGTGAGGTATCTCTACAAGAGAGTTCATATAAATGGGTTTCACAACAAAAGCAACTTCATGTTTCTCTTTTTAAATGTTGACCCTTCTGACTAAGGATACACTTGGTACAATAAAGAAGATAGCTGAGTACATAGGCGTGAGTTGGAGTGAAGAAGATTACCAGCGTATGGTTGATGAAACACATATTGATGTCATACAAAAACGTAATAAAGAATATGATGACATGTCCAAAGGTGGACGAGGGGCTGATGTGATGTTCAGAAAAGGTTTGATATACTTTCGAAACATTTGATTCATCAGAAAATATTTGACGATACTGTATGCTGCAAAATACATATTCTTCAAATAACAGTACTGACTCATCTACACTTTGAGTTGATTGAATTTGCATTCAGTAACATGTAAACATTTCTTTTTTATATATGATAAACTATTTATTTCATGACATTTAGACCATATGGATCGTATGTCAAAGGTACATAAAGTAATCCTAAAACAAAGTATGAATATTACTAATGTAAATAGTTTTTTGATTGATCAACATAAAGCAATTGTTGTTCTACTGACAAAACATTAACATCCCCAAATTTGACCCAGCAATTCTTTAGTCATCTAAGAAATTGCCCTCTTATCATTATCATATTCTTATGATAATGGATTTGTCTTTCCCGTTAAGCATTGGCCCAACAAAATTGATTATTTTCTTATTTCAGGGAAGGTGGGTGCGTGGAAACAACACTTCACTGTAGCACAGAATGAGCTGTTTAATAAAGTTTACAAGGAACGGATGAAGGGATTTCCATTTATCTATGATGACTTGCTGGACTCATAAAACTAGATAACATAGTACTGCATCATTAATGCTTTAATGCATTTGAATCAAAAGAGATGACCATACATGTATTTCTTATCACTTTTGTAAAGGCATGTGCCATTAGGAAAGTTCAAATTAGAGACTACAGCCATTGAGCTTGAATTGAATTTGAAATATTTTAAAATGGACTTATCTAGGAAGATCAACATCATAAGTATCCAAGATAAGTGTCCAATATGTATTTAAATGAGAATTGATAATATTTCAGGATAATATTGCAAGCAACAATTTTAAGACTCTTGTGTCCATTTTTGGAACCGTCATAACTTACTATTTGGTCACAAAACATACTTATGCTTATATATCTGACCAAAAACAGAAGATGTGACTCATTCAGTTTTCATCCAGTATTTTTCCTTATCCATCTCGAAGCCGTTTAAATGCAACAATATTTTAAAGAAATATAAATTACAATGGTGTATGCACCTTGCACAATGCTGTAATGTATCTCTCTGATATACTATTTTTAAGATGTCCATCTGGTTCCAATGTGGCAAAACAAAAATCACTGTTAAATTGAAACTCAGAATTTACGGCCCTGTTAACCTTACTCATTTAAATATGACTTTTATTATTTATAAATATAATAATGCCACTTTGTGATCAATCCTTTAATTGATTGCTGCATCTTCTGTGGATACATGATTGAAATCCTGCATGCACTACATAAAAGGTTATAGCCAAAGATATGGACTTTTTAGGACGACACTCTACATGTATTTACCAATAATTTATCACAATCACTTATTTACCAGAATATATTTCATATACGAAACTTTGTTTTTCATTTCAATCCTTAAAAAGGATCAGGTTGTCCAAAAGTACAATTAGAGAAACCCCTCTGGTATTTTTGTGTTATATTATGGAAAACAAGTATTTCTATCGACTTACCAATGTTTTGGCAACGCCAAAGCGTAGCGAATCCCATCGAACAGTCATGGCTGGCATATTTACAAACAAAGAATATAGCACAAATGGCAGCCATTTTTCAAAATGGCCACCTTCTAACATTAGACAGTGTCATCAGACAGTGTGCCATGCTTATAGTATTCACATACCAAATATGAACAAAATCACTCCACTACTTTTCGAGTTATAGTAAAATATGTTAAAATGGCGGCCATTTTGAAAAATGGCCACCTTCTACCAA